AAGCTCCGACGAAGATCTTGCCATATTGCAGGACGTGGCAGACGCGCCGCCGAACCGAGACCAACGTGGGTCTCGTCTTGACCCAGACACACCTATGCGGTCTGACCTTACCCATGGCCGACTATCGGCCATCTCTTATGGAACCCGACATGGAAGCCATGATGCCCGAAGATTGGCACGATGAGCTGCGCCGGGACCTCTGCGCCGTCACAGTTTCTCATTGTTTTCTCGACGACGGTATTCACCACGCACCAGCGACCATGACCCCAGACCAGTGATCCTGGAGGCAAGCAGGGAGACCTGCTTGATCCCGTGTTCGGAAACGAGGTGGGCGATCGCGAAAGCGATGCGGTCCCCCTCTGACCCATTGACCTTGATGATCATTGCCAGTGGGACGGGGGGTGAACACAGCAAATGCGTCGAGTTGTCCTTCACTCCCGACATGGCGACAATCATATTCACACCCGTGCAGTTGGACGCGTTCTCGCGCGATGATGTTGCATCTATTCAGATGCGCGCGTCGGCTGCAGCTACACGCGCAGGTGGATAGGAGTGGACGACCTATTCATCAAAGCTGATACCGCTGCAAATTTCAAGAGGGTAAGCGGGGCCTTGCATGCTGAACTCAAGGTGTTGTTCGGCAGTATATGTCGTGATATGTGCGATCTCTCAGGGGCATCCAATGTCACGACATCTCGCCGCGCGTGCAAACTGGAGTTTGCGGATGACGAACGGTGCCAGCAGTTGCGCGCCGGTCGTCTTCGCGTGGCCCTCCAAGGCAACATGCACATAGAGCCTTTTTCCATCAAGACTCTCAGGCAAGGGGGTGGCCCATGAGGGAACTCGCCAGGTGCGCTTCACTTTGCCGCCTGGGAGTGCCCGAGATTTGCGTGCTTTGCTGGCTTCGCAAGCCGCGGCGAAAGTCGCCGTTGTCTGCGCCGCGCGAAGCCGCGCGCTGGAGCCAGGGACGCCCCTAGAACATGCCCGCTAACATCGCGAGGCGCAGCGCGAGTCATTGGTTTCATTCCGACGGGCTTCGACCCGGAACTTGGGTTTGACCAGCCGCGGCCAAGCTCGTGGACGACATGCGCATGATTGGACTAGAGAAGAACGCGGACGACTGCGACTGACGGGCAGAACCAGTTTCTTGGAATGCAACCCAGTAAACATGCTTGGAGAAATTGCGCCTTGCGGTGCGCAAGTAATGGCAGCGCGGATGCAGTTATGGATTTAGACAAGTACATCAATCAACTCCGACCCATTATTCGCCCTGAACTGACAAGCGCGGCCGCCGAGGCCAAAGCAGCGAAAGTTGTTTCCAACGTGTTTGACTGTCTCCGAGGTGCCCTGGCCCGCGCGCTCCTCGCGCAGATCTGGCTCGTGACGCGCGTGGTCTCTCTGCAGAAGATTCAGTGACCCGCGAATATCCGAGTTCGTCGTTTGAACGCCATAGCGAAAAAACTCATCAGCGACCTGAAGAGGGTGAATTTCACTCGCATGCGCCCCACAGGCGTGGTGGACATCCGTAGCGGCTCAGGATATCGCAGGCTGCATTGAGTAGAAGACGAGGAGACGAAAGACTACGGCATCAGAGGGGCGAGCGTGCTCTAGCGAGGAAGCTCTCGCGACGGCAAGTCCGCCGCGCATTGGCGCGGCGGAATTCGCGCGCCTTGTCGGCGTCGGGCGGGGCCGAGCTATGCTGAGGCATTGGCAGCGGCCGGCGACCTTGATCAGGCACTTATTACGCTCATCGCACTTCATGACCTACAGCTGGACCGCTCGCACCCAAGCCTCTACGGGATATACGCGAACTCGGTGGGCCGGCGAGTGGCCTGGGCGATTGATGCGGAATCGGCATGCAGAGAGTTCCACCGAACGTCCGCTAGGCCACATTAGCTGGATGCGTGAGCTTGTGGGCAGGCATTGCACGTCGCGCTTGATCTGACTGCTGTTGGCCACGCGAAGGAACGCATTGCTCGCGACTCCATTGCGGAAGTGCTGTCTCGAAAGCAGTCATTCCAACCTGATGTCAAGTCTTTCGCCCACGTCAGAGGCCCTTCAGATGCAACTCCGAAAGAACCCTAGGCCGAGTATTGAATGAGTTGTGCGCTCATTTGGGCTTTCTAGGTCGCAGCAGCTTCTGCGCGCGCCTCGTGATCGGGCGCGTCTCGAGGGCTCGGGAGCGAGCCGCCCACGAGTGCCCGCAATCGCAGGCGCGCTCCGGGCGCTCGAGTTTGAGCAGAGCCGCCGAAAGGCTGCTCGGAAGCGAGTTGCAGCAGCGCTTTCAGCGTCTGGTGCGATACCAGCATCTACGCAACCTTTCGCAATCCAAGGAGCGACGTCGGCGGGGGGCATTCCTGACGCCCGACCTCGGCCTACCGGCTGAGCCCGTTTGGCTCGCTCCTCGTCGGGCCTCGGCAGTCTCTGGGAAACCCCGAGACTACCGCCGGGCAAGCGCGTCGCTGCGATTGTTTTCGGGGCGCCTTGTCGACGCACGGTTGTTTTAGGGTTAGGGCGCGGGGTGCAGCGCCCCCCCCCCCCCCTCCCCCAAGTCTGCCGACGTGCAGACAGTGCGTCCTATTTGAGGAGAAATGGATACCATCCTTCTCTTCGCCCGTCCACTAGATGACATGACAGCGATGTACTATCTGACGCCTTCCGTCTTCACTGGATGGGGGGCCTTCGTGGAACCCGTTTCGACCGTCTTGTAGTTGTCTTGGCTTCATGTTGGCCAGTATTGGGTCTTTGGCCCCCCTCTGGGGGTGCTCTTGTGGGCTGTTCCTGGGGCCCTCGCAGGCGTCGTGGGGTTATTTTGGGCCGTCTTGGGGACCTCTTAGCAGCGCGGCGGGTGCTCGGGGGCCGTCTTCGAACCATCTTGGGATGTCTTGGGGGCCACTTGGCCTCGGGGAAGGGCGTCTACTGCATGTTGCGCGGGGGCCTGGCCTCGGGGACGCGCGCCTGCGGCGTCTTGCAAAGGGTTGTAGCCTCGAAAGAGGGGGCGGCGCATGCGGCGCGGAGCGGCGAGAGACAGGGGGGGGCCCTCATGGATTGCAGAAGCCCTGCCAGGCAGCACTTAGCATTGCTGTCACGCCCCAGCGCGCCTGGGGCACGGTGGCGCATGACCGGAAGTGCGGTCAGATTCGAAGAGTCGCGCGATGGGCGCGAGTGTAGGTCCGGAGGGACATGCTATCAACATGTCGGAGGTGGCAAGGGGGGGTGGGGGGGGGATGACTAGGGGGGTGGATATCATGTCGGGGGCCATGATATTTCCCCAGGTTGCATGGCGCCTCTTCTTATTTCAATGCGTCCCCAGCCCACCCCTGGACCGTGCACGTGCCGACGGCCATGATTTGCGCCCCCCCTCCTTGGACGCCCCTCTCTTGGCCGCCCCCGAATTTGGGGGGTTCTGAGGGGGGAAGGGCTCGGGATCGGTCCTCTATTTAGATCAAGTTGATTCACCAGAATGACCATTTCGCCTGAGACATCCTCACGACATGAAGATGTCGTAGTCTATCGTCTCAGACTATGTGTATTAAAGAATACGACTTCGCTTGAGAGATCCTCAAACCATCTGGATATTGGAGTCGGTCGCGAAGTCTTTGTGTCCTCAGAAATCGGGCTCTCGCTCGAGACGTTTTTGAAAAACGTTGGATGTTGAAAAGGCTGTTCCAAGATTTCTTATGCCCAAAATGAATGTTTTGCTTCAAACATCCGGGGAACATAGAACATAGAGATATTGAAATCGCTGGCGACACCTTCTGATCGTCGAACATGTCGATTTCGCTGGAGACAACCTCCACACAATGAAATGTTGAAACCACTGTTGTACGACATCATTCGGTGGCGTTTTTGGAAAACTTCCAAGATGGTCAAAGAAGCGGAGTTACTGAAAAACCACCTGCTTTTGCAACACGTTCGTTCAAACATCCGCGTTTCGCTCGATCACCCTTACGTGCCTTCGAACGGGTCCTCGAAACCATGAGGTCATGATGGACATTCCGATGTAGGTTAGGGTATGTAGGAATAGGCTATGTAGTGTTGGGCTTCGAGAAGATGAGAGTACTTTATGGCCACTGTGCCGTTGGATGTGTCAACATTATGGGGCTTCACCTGAACTTGCGCGGACAGTAAAGTCCACCTGATCTCCCCGTGGACGTTCGGGGAAAGCGCCTTCGCTACAGTTGATCTTGTTGCTGAACACTTGTTTTGCCAAGTTCGCTTGAAACATGTTTCATCTTGCCTTCGGACGTGTCTTCCAAACGACGAAGGTAATTCTGAACCAGTGCGTTTTTATTCAACATTCTGGGGCTTTGCCTGACTTTGCGCGGGTAGCGAATTCCTCTTGATACCTCCGTGGACGCTCGGGAAAAGCACCTATGCTACAGTCGATCTCGATGTTGGCGCATGTTCTTGCCAAGCTCTTCGGTTTCACGCACTTCCAGTTCGTGCCAGGAAAGGCTTATCCATGTCTTGTTTCCTCGCGCTCGCTCGTTTTGTTTGTCTGTTTGTCTGTTTGCGTTTGTGTCTGTCTGTCTGTCTGTCTGTCTGTCTGTCTGTCTGTTTGGTTGTTTGTGTAAATATGTACTCCGTCTCTAATCCTATATGTTTTGCTTCCTCGTCTCCTTCGCATTTTTTGCGAGTATGAAGTGTGTGTATATTTATATATGTGTGTGTATGGATCATGTTATTCCCTTCTTAGTGGCATCACTCTTTGTCTCTGGTACACTAACTCTGTCCAGCTGCGGACACGGACTCTCCTCTTCCCGCTTCTTTGTTTCAGTTCCAATACACTCTTGTTCCTTACCGTCCGTCTCCTCCTCTTCTCCTCCTGCCCCTCCTCTTCATATTCCTCCTCATCCTCCTCCCACTCCTCCTCCTCCTCCTCCTCCTGCCCCTCCTCTTCGTATTCCTCCTCCTCCTCCCACTCCTCCTCTCCCTCTGTTTTTTTTCCTCCTTTTCCCCGTTCCCACCCCTGCCCTCTGGCGCCCCGTTTCTGCCAGACTACGAGTACGATCTCTCCAACGGGCTGAGCGGCAATTTCGGAATGATCAGCGTGCCCATATGCCAGAGCGTTGACCTGCTCTTCACGTTCGTCGACAACGCCACAGGTCGCCTTCGAAGGGGAGGGGCAGAGGAGGAAGACAGGGGGACAGGTTCTTTGAAGTTTGGGGGGAGCCCCGGGTGTTCCTGAAGCTCTTCGTTGCTGATCCTTGGAGGTTCTTGAGGGTTCTGGGGGTTCTAAGACGACGAGGGGGAGGAAGATGAGGAGGAGAAGGAGCAGGAGGCGGCGGCGGCGTAGGAGGAGGACGGGGAGCAGGATGCGGAGCAAAGGGAGGAGGAGGAGGATGACGAGGAGGAGGAGAAGGCGGAGGCGGCGGCGGAGTAGGAGGAGTAATGGGGAGCAGGATGGGGAGGAGGAGGAGGAGGAGGAGGAGGAGGCTGAAGAGTTGGAGGAGGAGGAGGAGGAGGAGGAGGAGGAGGAGGAGTTGGAGGAGGAGGAGGCGGTGGCGGAGTAGCAGGAGAAATGGGGAGCAGGAGGAGGAGGAGGAGGCGGAGAAGGAGGAGGAGGAGGAGGAGGAGGAGGAAGACGAAGAAGAGAAGGACGGTCCATTGACCTCGTCGATGGTCCCGATGCCCTGGGCTGCTTCTGGTGGTGCTCTGGGCCTGGGGTGCGCCCGGGGCGCCCTCACGCAGCGCTGGGACCCGCAGCGCGCACGCGCTCAGGCCAGCCGGATGCTCTTCTGGAAAGGCCGCCGCTTCGACAGGCAGCAGGCTACTCCGAGTTTCTTGATAAGCGTCTGGGGGGCGTCACCCCCGCCGTCAGCCCCACATCGACCCCCGTCGCGGGCAGCCACCGCGCGCCGAAGGCGCTCCGACCCCGTCGGGGGGTACCCCCCCACGCTTATTAAGAAACCCAGGGTACCCAGACATGATCGCGTCGTAAAAAATCAAGGCCGTTTTCGGCCTCCGGTGGCCCTTACCGGGCCTCAGGAGCGTCAAAAAACGGCTCAGGACGAAAAGCCCGTCCCGGAGAAAGGGTCGGGATTTCCAGGGACGCCGTTCTGAACAAAAATATCGGGGCTTCGCATGTCTGGCTATACGTATACTTAGCCCCGCTCCACCGCTTCGACACGCAGCAGGCCGCCGCTTCGACAGGCACACGGCTACACGTGTGCTTTGCGCCCCGCTCCAACGCTCTCTCCATGCAGCAGGCCCCCGCTTCGACGGGCAGAGGGCTATGGGCCACACGTGTGCTTCGCGCCCCCCCGCTCCACCGCTTCGGCACGCCGCTGCCTCGACGTGCAGAAGGCCCCCGCTTCGAGGTGCAGCGGGCCGCCGCGTCCACGTGCAGCAGGCCAGGGCATCGAGCTCGACCACGGCTCCGATGGAGCCCCCGTGGCCGGAGCCACGGCGCCCCGCTGCCAGCCTCGGTTCGGCAGCCAGCGCGACCGCCGACGCGAGGGCGGCGACGGCGGCGAGGGCGGCGCCGACGTCCACGGCGACCATGCAGACGTCGGCTATGACGACGACGTCGATGACGGCGGCGGCGTCGACGACGCTGACTACGACGTCGTCGATGGGTGCGACGGCGGCGACGACTATGAAGACGACATGGACGACTACCACGACGACGATGACGACCACGACGACGACGACGGCGACGACGACGACGGCTACATATGACAACGACCTGGACGTCGGCATCGACGACGACGAACGACGACGACGAAGTCGACGGCGTCGGTTATGACGACGGTGACGACGACAACTATGACGACGACGACCATGACAACGACGATTATGACGACGACCTCGACGTGGACGACGACGGCGACGACGACCTCGTTGACGACGCTGACGAATAAGACGACTACTACCGCGACGTCGACAACGCTGACTACGATTATCACGATGACGACAGTAAAGATGTCGATGGTGACTATGACGACGACGACGGCCACGACGAAGACGACGACAACGACGGCGACGACTATGATGCCGACGACGGCGGCATTGACGACGATGGCCAAGACGATCTTCATGTCGACGACGGCGACGACGACGATGACGATGACGACTACGACGGCGACATCGACGCCGACATCGAACCACCGACTAGGACGTTAGCGGCGACGACGATGATGACGACGATGACGACTACGATGGCGGCATCGACGTCGACGTCGACAGCGCCAACCACGACGTCAGCGACAACGTCGACGACGGCTACGACGACGACGACAACGACGACAACGACGACAACGACGACAACGACGACGACGACAACTTTTGCGACATCGACGGCCACGACGTCGAGGACGACTATGACGACGACTCTCACGACCACGATGCCAACGACATCGACGACGACGGCGGACGCGACGATTACGAGGACGACGACGACGACGACAACGAAATGACGACGACGGCGATGACGGGGGCAGCGGCGTCGGCCACGGCCACGGCGGCAGCGACGGCGATGGTGACGGCGACCCCCCCCAGTGACCACGACGGCGACGACGACGACGATGACGACACCGGCGACGACGACGCCGACTACGACGGCGGCGTCGACGTCGACGACGCTGACTCTGTCCATGACTTCGACGACGTGGTCGTGGACGACGACGGCTTCGATGACGACGACTTCGTCGACGACGTCGACTATGACGACGTTGATATGACGACGTTGACTGCGACGTCCATGAAGTCAACTATGATGAATAGGAAGACTTTGACGACGACCGTGACGACGACTGCGACAATGACGACGACTTCGACGACTACGATGACAACGTCGTCGGCGAAGACGGCGACGACCACGGCGACCAGAACGCCGACGACGACTCCGACGCCGACGACGACTGTGACGACTGCGGCGGCGATGGCGACAACTCTGACGACCTCGATGTCGATGCAGGCGTCTGCGACGACGACGACGACGACGACGACGACGATGACTCACGACGACTGTGCCGGCGACGGTGGCGCCGACGCCGGCGACGGCGTCAACCGTGACGCCGACGACGCCCCTGACGACGACGCTGATGACGACGGCGCCGACCACGACCACGACGACCAGGAGCGACCCGGAGCGACCTCGCGAGGACGACGCCGACGCCGTCGTAACGACGGTCCCCCGGGGGCACGCTCGCGCGGGGGGGCGGCCGACCGCCCCCCCGCCGTCCCCAGGGGGCGGCCGCCTCGGGCGCCGCCGCCCTGCCTCGGGGCCTCCCTCCGAACCGGCGCCGCCGTCGCCGTCGTCGTCGTCGTCGTCGGCGTCGGCGTCGTCGTTTCGTCGTCGTCGTTTCGTCGTCGTCGTTTCGTCGTTTCGTCGTCGTCGCCGCCGCCGTTGTCGTCGCCGTCGCTGGCCAGCAGTGACGAGGCGTCCTGGCTCGGTGGTCGCTTTCTTAATCATTGTTTTGCCGATCGACGCGGGCCCTCGTGCCTCCCCCCCTTCCCTGGAGTAGAACTTGGCTGTTTTGGGCGCCTGTTTCGGGCGGGTGGGGCCTCCTCCATAGGACGCACTGTTGCAGACAGTCGCACTAAGCAGAGGTCCGGAGCCAGACCCCCCCCCTCCCCCGCCCTTCCGCCCAATGTCGAAACGCCGAACAAGAAAACGCCCACCTGCCCATAGGCTCACCAAATAGTTTTCTAAGAATCATATGTGGTTTGCACGACATGTTCTTAGAACATGTCTGGCCGAGACCGCTGAGAGCATTGTTTTTGTTATCAGCACGCTCTTTTCTTACAATGCCTCCTCGCGTCTTTCCATTTTTTCCCTTTGGGCCTCGACGCCAATTCGGCAAGGACGGGGGCAGGTTGGGGTACCCTTGCGTCCTCAGTTGATGTGTCGCCCGCCGTCCAAAATATCCCAGCTTCGGCATCCAAGGGTCTTGCGTCCCCACCACCCGTCCTTACCAGACGCTTTCGCTGTACACGAGTGCGCTGCCTGGTATGTAGGACCTGTAGGAATGCCGGGACGGTCGGCCCCTGCTCGAGGGGCCGCGCGGCCCGAGATCTCCGAGGGGGGCCTTCTCCTCCCCACTGACCCCCCCCAGGGCTCGTCGCCAGTGCACGAGCGCGCCGCGTGGTGCGCAGGACCTGCAGGAATGCCGGGACGGCCGTCGAGGGGAGCCGCGTGGCCTGAGGGCTCCCGGGAGGGGCCTGCTCCTCCCAGGGGTCGGCCTGAGCGGTCTTGTGGCGACTTCGTGAGCCGCCTTCGTTTTGGCTTCGTTCTGCAGCGCAGGCGGGTGGAGGACAGAACGAGGGGACAGGCACACAAGACGACAACGAAGAACACCGTTTGAGTCGATCCCTGTCTCCTGCCCGCTTCCCCCCCCTTCGCCCGTCGCCAATGCCAGGCGGGTTGAAGACAGATCGAGGGGAAAGGGACACACAACGAAAACGAAGCACACCGTTTGAGTCGGTCCCCGTCTCCTCCTCCCTTCCCTTCCCTTCCCCCCCCGCGCTCGTCGCCGATGCACGACGAGCGCGCTGCGTGGTGGGGACCTGCAGGAGCGCCGGGACGGGCGGCCCCTGCTCGAGGGGGGCCGGGGCGGCCCGAGAGCTCCGAGGGGGGCCACGCGCTCGCGGGGGTGCGAAGGCCGCTGGGAGGGGGGCCCTCTGGACACACCAAGGAGCACAGGCGCGGAGGTCCCCGGGTCCCACGTATGCCAGCGTTCTCGCAAGAAATCGCCCAAGTGCAACGCCTAGAAGATGGCGCGAGAGCGCCCCCCGCGCCCCCCAGTGTCAATGTTCATCTGAGGGAGCAGGCCGCGGGGTTTGTAAATGCGGGCGTTTTTTTTTGAAACGACTCGCACTCCACCGCGTCGACCGCCCCGAACTCTGAAATTGGGGCCGGGGGGTTGGACCCGCTTCCACGCGCATTCGAGATGGGCGTGTGTTTTTTGGTTCTCGAAAGCCACGGTATTTTCCGAGATATTTTTGGGGGATTTGCGTCTTCCCCCCCCCCACACTTCCCACATTCGCGCTGCATCGCAGATTTCCGCCGCCGAGCGAGGCGGCACAGGCCGCATTTTGGGGAGGGCACCTTCCCGAATCCATAGATTTGGCGACTGCGCGCCAAATCCATGGATCGCTAATC